AACTGTTTGGAACAAACATGAGGAAGGCTATAAACTATGTCCTAGGCATATCTACGATGCCATCTGATGACCATAGCAGTAACAAAATGGACAACAAGTCTCATTTTCAGAAAGGGAGGTTTACAGGGAGGAGAGACGAGAACATGGTCTACATGCCAGTACCAACTTCATGGCTGAGGAATCAGAATTCTTGGGATCGCCGTCGTTAGATATTTGTGAAAATAATTCATTTCAATATGGAGAAACCAATGTTAATTTGACTAATGAAATTGTAAACGACAATACTTTAAACTATGACTCCAATAAGATTAGTAACTCTTGGTACACGCATAAAGGGTTGAACATACTACATCTTAACATTCACTATTTGTACCCAAAATTAGACGAACTCAAAATTATAATTTCAGAACAAAAAATTGATATACTCTGTTTATGTGAAACGTTTCTAAATGTAAATTTTCTAGACAATGAACTACAGTTGGACAATTTTACACTTTTTCGCAAGGACAGGCCTTCCAATGGAGGCGGTTTAATTATTTATGTTAGAGACTGTTTATCTTTTGTACATAGATCTGATTTAGAAAGTATTTCTATTGAATCCATTTGGCTTGAACTTAAACAGCCTAAATGTAAATCGTTATTATTGTGTTATGCATACAGACCACCATCTTCTAAAGTTGAGTGGCTTGATAATTTTGCTATATCCTTAGAAAAATCTTATTTAGAGGAAAAAGAATGTATTGTTATTGGAGATTTTAACTATGATATTTTAAAGCATGATAATTTTTCTAAATCTTGGTTAGATCTAATGCAGTCTGTAAATTTTTCTCAGCTTGTTGAATCTCCTACCAGAGTAACTTCAAGCTCTGCTACATTGATAGATCATGCCTTTTCAAACATGCCTCAAAATGTAGTCGGTGTTTTTGTACCTTCCTTATCCATTAGTGACCATTTTCCCATTTGTCTTACACGCAAACTTTCAAATATCAGTGTTAAAGGTCCCATGCATAAGACAATAACCTTCCGGTCTCTTAAACACTTTGATGAAAATCGATTTTTAACCGAATTGTCAGAGCAACTCTGGTCAGAAGTAGCATTTGTAGAAAATCAAGATAACTCAATAGATTTGTTCACTGATAAATTTTTGTCTGTCCTTGAAAAACATGCACCAACCAGAAAAAAACGAGTAAAGAAGGTCACCCAACCAAACTGGATTAATAAAAACATCCTCGATGCTATTAAAACAAAACACCAGTTTCATAGAGTTAATGACACATATAATTACAACATATGGAAACAACACGTTAAGTCGCTCATATATGATTCTAAGCGACAATATTATAATGATACTATCAATCAAAACAAACACAACCCAAAGAAATTATGGACTGGTCTAAATGAATTATCTGGTTACAAATCCAAGGTTCAAACACATTTTATTGATGATGATGATGGCAACCCGGTTTCTGACCCTTTAATCACTGCAAATTTATTCAACAGACAATTTGCAAATCTCCACCAATCCCATCATGCCATTAATCAGACTGGTTATGAAAATCCTGAGCTTGTTGAAGTAAATGCATCTAAACTTCAGCATATACCCCCTTTCAAAATACCTAAAATAGAGCTCTCTTATGTGTTGAACCAAATAAAATCGATTGATATTACAAAGTCATGTGGGTCAGATGGTCTCAGTGCAAGGTTTCTAAAGTTATCAGCTCATATTATTGCTCCCATACTTACCACTATATTCAATAACAGTATTCTAAACAAAACATTTCCTAAATCATTCAAAAATGCAAAAGTCATTCCTATACATAAAAAGGGTTCTAAAAGTGATAAAAGAAACTATAGGCCGATTTCCATACTTCCCTTGATATCACTTATTCTTGAACGTCATGTCAGTTCACATTTAAAGCAATACCTTGAGAAAAATCAACTTCTTTACCAACGTCAGTCTGGATTCAGGTCAAATCATTCATGTCAAACAGCATTGATTAGAATTATTGATGATTGGATTACAGCTATTGACAAAAATGAAATAGTTGGTTCAATTTTCCTTGATCTCTCTAAAGCTTTTGACTATGTGGATCACTCTATTATTATTAAAAAGCTTAGAATGTATAACATAGACCCTTCATCAGTTGCTTGGTTTTCCTCCTATTTAGATTGCAGAACCCAACAAACTTACATATCCGGTTTATATTCAGAGTCAAGTTCAGTAACTACTGGAGTTCCTCAGGGCTCAGTGCTAGGTCCTATACTGTTTTTAATCTATATCAATGACCTGCCTTTGTCTATGGAAAAAACAGAAACTGATATTTTTGCTGATGACACTACCCTTTCAACCTCTGATGTATCCCTAAACAGAGTAGTTGAATCTCTTACTCATGATCTTTTAAATGCCAACAAATGGGTGTGATTTGAATCGCATGTCTATCAATGTTAACAAAACTAAGGTCATGTATATTTCCTCAAAACACAAGCAAAATTATATCCATGAAAGTAATCCTTGTATTCTATATAAAACAGAGCAATTTTTTTTGTAGCTCTGAAGAAAAATTATTGGGTATTACAATTAATAACACCTTGTCTTGGCAAAGCCATATTGACAATGTTCTTAAAAAGTGTAACTCATTGTTACATTTATTATCACGTATTAAATTATTCATATCTATACCTGTACGTAAAATATTTTACAATGCATATATTTTACCACATCTTGATTATTGTTGCATAATTTACGGTAACTGTACGTCTTTTCTAGAAGATAAACTCATTAAGTTCCAAAAGAGAGCTGCAAGACTAATTCTAGACAAAGATTATGACACTCCATCTGCTGAACTTTTTTCTGAACTCCTACCTATTTATTGAATAATTTCATTTTATCGTCAGATGTTCATACTCGCATTTTACGTTCATCATCTGATTTTCAACTTTATACCCCTAGACCAAATACTGAACAATTTCGTAAGTCTTTTGTTTATTCTGGATCTTGTATTTGGAATGGCCTTCCTGATTATATTAAGTCTGCTACATCTGTTAACCATTTTAAAACCTTATACTTGAGGTATTATCACACATCCATGTATGCAAATTGATAATCTCCTGTATGTTTTTACATTTATGTATTTTAATAGTTTGAATATGTTAAATTTACATTGTTCCTTGTTGAGGGCCTCATGGAAGATTGATATGTTTGTTCAAATGAGTTCTCTCGTTAAATAAAGTCTTTATTATTATTATTATTATTATTATTATTATTATTATTATATTATTGTGTTATCTTCAAGTAATTGCTGATGGTGCATTTTATCTATTCTTATAAATATCTGTTTGTTTTTGTTTATTGTCGTCGTCGTCGTCGTCGCCACCGCCTTTATCGCTGTTGTTGTTATTGTTATTGTTGTCGTCATTGTTGTTGATGTGTATGTATCATGGTTAGCTGTAGAATCAAATTTACCTATAAGACATGCATTCTGTTAAGCAATTTTGAGATTAATTTGCCTGATTCATTTTTAAAACAAATTTTTACAATTGTCATCTCGTACGTACATAATGGCTACCATGGGGATGTCATTTATTGTACGGGGAGGTCATAATATTTCAGAATGTTAGTCAACGGGGAGTCAATATTGATTTAAATGACTGTAATAACCGCTTGTCATAAGTGGATGTCAAACTACTTCGTTACAATCGTTTTAAGTTTTATTCACAGCCATTTATCAATGCTTCAAGATAGAATAGTTTGCAAAAGTACTGGGTACGTTAACTAAACCAAACCAAATACTTGGTTGTTATGCATTTATTGAATTATAAACAGATGAAACATGTGACTGTTTTTAGATTGGACGATTCAACAAAGATCAATTACAAGGGCATGTGTCACGCAATTGATGTTAACCAGCCTTACTCGTACATATAGCACATTACCAAACCATAGAGACAGGACTGTTCTTCGCTTTCAGACTCTGTCGTTGTTTTATTTCATTTTATATATCTGTGGATAATAACAAAAATATTTTACTTTTAATACAATGGCTTTGACTGCAGGAATTATAATTATTAACGCTGTTTTATTCGGAACAGTTTACTCAAACAAATGCAGTTCATTTGAAATAAGCAAGGACATTCTTAATAAAGCATTGATCGGCCATTCCGTGTTAGAAGTAAATGATAAAAACCATCAAGATTGTGCGCGAACCTGTATGTCAATGTCCGTCTGTAAATCGTTCGACTTTGACAGAAACGAGCACGTGTGTAAGTTAAATGATGTTGATAGGTCGTCCGTTGATCCATCGGAGTTTGAAACAAAAAGAGGTTCTATATTCTCTGATATTAGCGAATGGCCTAGCGTAAGTATCTCAATTTATTAATTGTTATAATATGTACAACTTTTGGAAACGAAAATGATTAAAAATTCAACCTTGAGGGAAATAGTTATTCTTACATTTGAATTATATTTGAAAAGTTCATCGTAACATATGAATGTTATTATCATGTCTGAAACGTGAATGTTGTTTTCCTGTCTAACATTTTGTTGTGCAAAAGATATTATTTCGAGGAAAAATCTCAGAAATTTGTCTCATTGTCTATAATATAAAAACGAAGCGCTCATAGAAGTATGTCTCTTTGAGAAAATATGTATTTTAATAGTTCTTGTAATTTAACAAAATGATTTGTTAATTAATGTTACGAATATTGTTTATAACTGTTCTTCTGTTTACAGACAATGGTTGGAAGTTGTGGCTCAAGGCCGTGTAAACCGAACCAAAGATGTTACCAAAATGGCGCTTCACATGTGTGAAAAGACATAAGTTCGTAAAAACTTTCATTTGTACATTTTTTATTTGTTATTGAATGAAATGTTGTATAATTTTTCAAGAAATATTAACGCAATAATTTTTGTTTGATAGATGCCATGTTCTAAAAAGTACTGTCCTTGAAGACATGTATAAAAGGATGCTCTATACTAGACAAACTCCGCCCGACTGATACGTATGTGTATTGAAGGAATTCCACTGATGTCCAAAAGTCTAAAAATCATAAAATTTGAATTTCTTATGTAGATCAACTGGAGCACTTAAAACAGAAAGACATACAAATGATACGATAGTTAACAATAATACTCAGAAATTAAGTAAACATCGTAGTTTTGTGCTATTATTAGCCTGATTTGAATGGAAAGCATTTCCACGCTTCTCAGTTTTGGGTCATTTTCGGAATTGCAATAATCTTTATAGAAAAATGGAGTAAGCGAATGATCTGAAATTTTGAAGACAAGTTATAAGTCTAACCCTAGATCATACTGAATGTTTATCTCGAAAAATCATTCCAGACAGGTTATGTCATTAAAATTCAGCGAAGTCCATTTAATATAACAAATAGGACAAACAAAAAAAAATTAACAAAATAATAGAAAAAATAAAACGCATTATACCTTTAACATTTTTTCCAGCAAGAAACTATATGTTTACACAGATATAACATAGGATTCTTGATCACGATTTGTACCTAAATCGTTATATTATCAAAAATGATAATTCAGAAATTGGCCTTAGAAAAAAAAAATGTGAAGTAGAAACTATTGTTTAGATAGTACCTTATTATTTTTATTATTATTTTTATTTTTTATAATTGTTATCGTTATTATTATTATTATTATTTCCAGCCTGTGCTTTTGATCAGAAAATTGAAAATGGTAAAATACAGATTAGTTCGCCTGGAGATAACAAGTTCCTTGACGAAGCTCTAGTAAAATGTGACCAAGGATATGTTCCTAGTCAAGAAATGGTGAAATGTGAGGGTTCAGGAAAATGGCAGCCTGCAACGTGCACGAAAGAAAAATGTAACATATTTAAATATTGCTGTTTTTTATCTTGTCTTAATACTTCATCTAAATTAGCAATGACGGTAGAATAAAAGTTGTCATACTGCGAGATGGTATTTCAAAACATTTGCTTTGGCACTTAATGTGATTATGTAAATAAATTAATGTTTTATTATCTAAATATTCTTATATATAAACAGAAAGACAGAAAATATATTGGATGATGTCTTTTAGACAATTACATTTTTGTATTCTGATCAAGCAAGTAATATTGTTTTGTTTTTCTCAAAAGTTGTAAAGAAGGATAATGTTTAAAAAAAACAGACAGGTGTATTGGCACAATGATTGCTTTAGAATTCTCTTTCAAACGGACGGTAAATTATTTGTTCTTTATCATAAACATGAAATAACATTATTAGATGACAAATGTCTTTTCTTTTTGAATATTTAACCATATATTTCTTTAAACATTGTATTTTATAGTTAAGAAAAGAAATAATAGTCTAAGAAGGCAGTTTTCCTGCCGGTTTTCTTTGTTTAGTGTTAGGTTAAAGAATATGCTTAATAATGCCTACATTTCTACAAAGCAAGAGAGTCGGTGTTTTGCCTATACAATTACTTTACCTTTAAGGTAGACCATGGGTAATGCATTACCTCCACTTTGAAGAGTATTCAATTAGGCAAGAATCGCTTGTAAACTACATTGTAATTGAGGGGCGTGGGTTCAAACCCCAGAAGGGGCAACTTTTTTTTTCTTTCTTTTTTTCTTTTTAACATTATTTATGTATCTCTCTGATCCCTTATGGAAGAAAAAAAGTTTGATTTTAATTATATAATTATTTTAGGTATTTTTTTTGTTAAATAATGCCAAAATTTATAACAAATATGATACCAGATATTTTCAAAGTTCGATAAAATAAAAACTACACGGTAAAAGTATTTTATATTTCGCATGATCAACTAATATACCTTTGAAAAAATTTAGGCAAAGTTTGAAAACAGACCCTCATTTCGATAAATTTTAGGGATATTTTGAATAAGGCATTTTAGATAGGGAAATGGTAAAATTAGTGTTAAAAGTGGGTGGGGTAGGGTAACATTTTTATACATATTAAGAACATTTTGTTTAGAACCAAACATTTTGGTTGTGTAATGTGTTACCTGAATGTTATTATTTGTTTCTTAACAATGAGCAATAGAAAAACATTTTTTATAATGATGATATTACAGATTATTTACAGTTTCCTCATTTCTGAAAATAAGCCCTTCAAATGGCAAGGTCTTAGTTTAGAAATATATCCATAACTCATAAACCACACGGTAAATTTTATTTAAATTTTGCATACAGGTGACCTTGAAGACATATAACTGTCCTATGTTGTCAATTTTACAGTTCTTTATGGTGCCCATTACCCATGGTCTACCTTAAATACATATTTTTTTATAATTTAGATGACTTTACATCTACGTATACACGTTTACTTTGGAAGCAAATTTGCATAATGCATTGCACATTTACTAAAGCATTACGTTACTAATCTGGAAAAGAAAATGTCATGAAAAATATACAACTTAATGCTTTGACTACTTGCGCACACTAATCTGAGACCAGACATTTTATACATATATTATTACGTCATATATTATTATGTCATAAAAGATCTTAGATATGGTAAGTTTACCAACTATGTATAAACATTATGACACAAGTATACAATAGATAAACGTTTCTTTTGTCGTTTTTTAATTACACAATTCCTTCTTGTAAAGATCGGAATACAAGATCAAGAAGGAAAGATGGCGTTCAATAAATAAATATTTTTTTTTGTTCATTGCCTAGTACAAAGTGATTGTAAAGAAGTCCTTGATAAGGCTCCTGAGGCGAAAAATGGACAATATGAGATAGAACTATGGAAATCTGGGAAGATGCTGACTGTGAATTGTGACATGGAAACCGAAGGCGGTGGTTGGACGGTATGTAGATTCTTTTATTCCAATGTTTAATAAGCAAACTGTTATTTCCTGACATACTCACATGATAGCATTCATTTAACTCGCCGTATGCTTTTTTTGTTCAGTACGAATAACCAGTCAAATAGTGCCAAATAGACGTCAATATCAAATTGCAATTACTCCAATTTCTTTCAGGCAGTAAAATTCCACAGAGTATATTTGTTGGTTTTAATACTCGTATAAATAACAATATTTCAACACTAACATATGATGGCTTACTTTTATCCGCATTCAAATATAGTGTGACTGCTTGGTAAATTATATCTTATCATTATACTGTGAAATTATTTCAGTATCTGCTGATAAGCCTGTTATAAACTGAACATTACCTCGTCAATGAGTCAATTGTAATAGGCCAGATAAATGATAAGAAGTACAAAAAGGTATGTTTTCTAACAGCAAATTTAAAGATTAAGGACCTTTGTCAATCTTTTTATTTGAAGTAACATTTAACCCTTAGCTTTATGAAACTGACGTTAAACAGACACACACTTAGTATGATTTTTATGTAATAATTATATGCATAGTTCGTAAGCGTTTAACCTGTTTGCGTTTTTTTTTAGATATTTCACAGGCGAATAGACGGGTCATTGGACTTTTATCGCAACTTTACTGAGTATGAGAATGGCTTTGGGAACATTAATGGAGAGTTGTGGCTAGGTATGAAAAAATATTTTATTCCTTATAACATTGCATTTTAAAACAAATCTATTACAATTATTGAGTAAGGTACAACATTACCGCAATTAAATAAAAACACTAAGCATTTGTTGAAAGCGTAACATGACGATGAGTTTCGTTACGATGGAACAAATATTTTGCTTACAGTAAACAAACAGTTTATTAAGCGAATACACTTAGAATATTTCTTGTTGACCGTAATGCATTGCTTATGAAAGTTTTTGAAGTGAATTGATAATTATATCAAATTGTTGAAGTCTATTGATAAACATATGTTGTTGAAGTATTTTGATAAACATAAGTAGTTGAAGTGTATTAATACACATATAAACTTGTTGAAGTGTATTGATAAACATAAGTTGTTGAAGTGTATTAATACGCATATTAAGTTGTTGAGGTGTATTGCTGATTATTGACATAAGTTGTTGAAATGTTTTGATAAACATATTTAGTTGTAAAAATGAATTGTGAAGTGAAAGTGGCTGAAGTGTATCCATAAGCTTACATTGTTGAAGTAAATTGATAAACATAAATTGTTGAAGTTAAATGCATTAGGCAGCCTAGCAGGTTAAAATGTTCCTAAATAGAACGCAATGTCATTATAATTGTAATGGTTTGTAATTTTTAAGTAAGAAATGTTAAAGACTGAATTCTACTAAATATCTTGGCAAATTTCTAAATGTTTATATTTACGTTCGATATATTTTTGCAGGTTTAAAGTATATACAAGAACTAGCTGAACAAGGTTCAACAGAGATTCGTCTTGATATGGCAAAAAATGATAGTACAACAGGACATGAAACTTGTTCAGACTTTAAGTTAACAGAAGGAACAAATTATACACTAAACATTGGGTCATGCATACGTTTTAGGGTGTCAGGTAATTAAAACTGAAAGTTGTTGTCTTATTTTGTTTATTTTCTCTTTATTTACTTAGCTAAATGAAAGCACAACGACTTTAAAACAAATAAAAATATGCAGTTACAGTTTAAAGGAAAAACAAGTTCAATTTTTCATAGAACATAGTTTTATGCATTTATACTATTAACAGAATCTCTCACAACTATTTGATGTGTGATTTTTAGCTCACCTGAGCTTGCTCAGGGTGATCTATTAGGATCGGTGAATGTCCGTCGTCCGTCGTCCGTCGTACATCCACAATTGCTTGTGAACACTCTAGCGGTCGCATTTTTGCCTCAATCATCATCAAACTTGGTCAGAATGCTTATCTAGTTGAAAGCTCGGATGAGTTCGAACATGGCTCATCTCGGATGAAAGGTCACAAGAGCTAAAAATAGAAAAACCTTGTGAACACTCAAGAGGTCACATTTTTGACCCAATCATCATCAAACTTGGTCAGGATGTTTGTCTAGGTAATAGCTCGAATGAGTTCGAACATGGGTCATCTCGGATGAAAAAGTAGGTCACAGGAGCTATAAATAAAAAAACCGTGTGAACACTCTAGTGGGACACATTTTTGAACCAATCATCATCAAACTTGGTCAAAATGCTTGTCTAGTCTATTGCTTGCATGAGTTCGAACATGGGTCATCTCTGATGAAAAAGTAGGTCACAGGAGCAAAAAATAGAAAAACCTTGTTAACACTCTAGCGGTCACATTTTTGCATCAGTCATCATCAAACTTGGTCAAGATGTTTGTCTAGGTGATAGCTCGGATAAGTTTGAACATGGGTCATCTCGGATGAAAATGAAGGTCACCGGAGCTAAAAATAGAAAAACCTTGTTAACACTCTAGCTGTCACATTTTTGCATCAATCATCATCAAACTTGATCAAGATGCTTGTCTAGGTGATAGCTCGGATGAGGTCGAACATGGGTCATCTCGGATGAAAAACTAGGTCACAGGAGCTAAAAATAGAAAAAAACTTGTTAACACTCTAGTGGTCACAATTTTGACTCAATTGTCATCAAACTTGGTCAGGAAACTTGTCTAGGTCATTGCTGGGAATAAATCGAACATGGGACATCTCGGATGAAAAACTAGGTCACATGAGCTAAAAATAGAAAAATCTTGTTAACACTCTAGTGGCTACTGTTGTGATCCAAATATTCTGTTAATTGGTCTGAAAGTTTGTTTTGATGATTTCTAAGTCAAGATCGAACATGGGTCATCTTGGATGAAAAACTAGGCCACACCGCCCAAATATGGAAAAACCTTGTTAACATTCTAGTGGTCACATTTTCGACTCAATTTTTATCAAACTTGGTCAGGATGCTTGTCTAGGTAATTACTTGGATGAGTTCGAAATCGCATGTGAAACTAGGTCACCGGAGCTAAAAATAGAAAAATCTTGTTAACACTCTAGTTGCTACTGTTTTGATCCAAGTATCCTGGAAATTGGTCTGAAAGTTTGTTTTGATGATTTATAGGTCAAGTTTGAATATGTGTCACCTGGGTAAAAAACTAGGTGGCACTGCTCAAATATGGATAATCCTATTTAACACTGTAGTGGTCACATTTTTGACTCACTTGTCATGAGACTTGGTCAGAATGCTTGTTTAGGTAATTGTTTGGATGAGTTTTGATAAGTCAGGTGAGCGATCTAGGGCCATCATGGCCCTCTTGTTTATAGAGTACACAGTTATAAATGCACAATATTCCTCAAAAAAAGTTTTTATTTTTGTTTCTTAAAAGCTTTTTATTTTTGTTTCCAAAACACGAGCCATTGGCTGATAACCTGAACCATCTGTTTCATCTGTTGATTTTGGTCATCAGTACAGATATAATGATTTATAATTTTGTATTGAAGTCAGAATATTACATTGTTTACATTTTGTGTCTATGACAAATAATTTCAAATTAATAGCTACTTTCGTCAGGTTACAATCATCTTGCATGTGTCGAAACCATTATTCTTTTCTAATTAATTCGTTTCTTTAAATTATGCATGTATAATCAAATAAAAGATGACATATTACAATAACAAAAGAATAGTATTATAAACTTTTAACAGATTTGTCATTCCCATCTTGTTTATAGCAGAACCAATTCATGTCTGAAATTTTAATGTTGCTATATCTTGCCTGATATAAAATATTAAATTTTGCTATTGTCAGTAAGAGATCATCTTTGAGTGTTCTTTATACATAATATTATAATAAATTCAATGTATTTGTGAAGAAGGCAGTAAACATCCACAATATAACACTTATCATAACGTTCTACATTCAGTCGTCGACTAATTAACCTGGTCTCTGATAGAGCAAAGTTTCCCTTTGACTGGTTTATAAAAAAACCCACAAGCTAAATGTTCTACTGACCTGATATTGGACCTGCTTTGCCATAATATTAAAATTGTTTAACATCCAAGATGAATCGGATGAGCTGTTTTGTATGATTGTGGGGATAGTTACTCGTTTTTTTATGAAATTTGGGCTTGTCAACATGCAAACCGTCTTAACATATGACAATGACATAATTAATTGATAATGTATTTATATTTCTATGCAGTAAATGGATTTGCTTATAATAATCAAATGCCATTTTCAACTTACGACCGTGATCTCGACACCGGTCTATCTTAAACTGTGCCGTGCTCAAACATGGAGCCTGGTGGTATCAAGGATGTACTCATGTCAATCTAAATGGAAAATATGTGACGCCAGGCACTTATGCAGGTGAACCTGGACACAGACACATTGGGTTTGATAACTTAATTGGATTGAGAACGTCATCAATGATGGTACGAAGGAAACAAGATAAGTAATCAGGTGCAGAGCTCATAAATTCGGAGAATTTAACGATCGTACTTAAAAGAACTTTTTTGTAATTATTGTGGTTTGTTTTTGCATCAGACATGGTGTGAATTTACGATGGCTTATCTATGAAAGAAGTCTGCTGTAAGACATTGGCATTTTCAGTTATTGGATTGGTGACTTAGAATCTCGTGACAGCATATTATCACGTTTAAACATTAAATCATGTCACCGTATATAACTATGTGACATCATAAAATTACGTGACATTATATAATCAGTTTAAATATCATTATCACGTGACAATATTTATTATTTGTTTGATTATAACCGCGTGACAACACGAAAATGAAAAAAGATAGCGTTTAATTTAAAAGAGAAAATTAACTTTTTGTGTTTGATTAAATATATATGTATTGTCCTGTTAGAATTTGTTTTAATCAAAATAAGGTTCAACGAATAGCTGAAGGCATTGTCTTTTTTAAATTAAAAACCATTTTTATTTGTCTTTTGTCACTGTGTTTTCTTAAATAAGATCTTGTACTTGTAAAGAGATTTTTTCAAAAATTATTCTTATAGTGTAAGTGTCGTCATCCAAGAAAACCTGCATATTACTGAAGATATCGTTAATTCTCTCTTTAAGACTAGTGAAAAATATACCCAACACGCCTTGTATCTAAGCTGCACGTGTTGCAATTGTATTCTGAATAAATTTCAAACAAAGTGATATTTTCCCTTATATATAGGATATAAATTAAGTGATCAATTGCCCAAAAATTGTTAGACCAAAAAACGATTATACCCATAATGAAGCTAGTGTCGGACATTAAAAAAATGTTTTGTAGCCTAAGGGAAGCCTGGAATGGAAAAAACAGTTAATTTATCCTCCTTCCAGATTTTATGACATTTAACAAATAGTAGCCCAATCACTGATACAAGCAGTTTTGATATTATGAATTATCATTCACCAGTCAATTTCACGTATCTTGTTGCATATTTATACATATTTTTTATGTATTCTGTATGGTTAAGTCGTTTATATTTAATATATATTTTCATCGTTTATGATTGGTATGTGAAAATGGTAAAAACAATTGTAAATTGTATGGACGTTAATCGCCGAGATCAATACATGTATATACTTTCATAGTGAATGGTTGTTGTGTAAAAATTGTTAAACAATTGTATTTTGTATGGGTCTACATCAAATGTGCTGACAAATATATAATTTCATCGTTCATCATGTATAAGTATTGTGTAAAAAACTGTAAAACAATTGTAACTGTATTGAAGGTTTCTACATAAAATGCCTTGATAAAAACAATGACATATTATTACATGCTTCTGCATTAAATGCATAGAAAATTATATACTTTCATAGTCTATGGTTAGTATGTTAAACTTGTAAAGCAATTGTATTTTGTATGGTTTTATTATAAATATATTGAAATATATATATAGACCTTCGATATCATTGATGCCAGTACTATTAAGTGTTGAGAATTGAGTACCGCTCAAGTCGGTGCGAGGGGGCGTAATGGATGTTGCACTTAATCATTATCCCTCATGTACAGACTCAATCAAACCGAGTCTGCAATTCTTATGTAATTTTATTGTAATTAATGCTTCCGATGGATCACTTTTTTCCAGATTATAAAGCAATTGTAGTTTGTATGGTTCTATATCAAATGTATTGACAAATATATACTTTCATAGTATTTGGTTAATATGTGAAAACTGTGAAGCAATTGTATTTTGTATGGTCCTATTTATGTATCGACAAATATATACTTTCGTCGTTCATGGTGTATAAGTATTGTGTGAAAACTGTAAATCATTTGTATATTGTATGCTTCTTCATTAAACATATAGAAAAAATACTGTCTATGTCTTTGTATGATTGTTGTGTGGGAAGTATTAACGATTATCTATGACTTCTAGAAAATAAAGCTGTTTAATTTCTTCCCAAGGTACGTAGCTTCAACTGGACATCTTGCAGGCGAAGAAATGATTTTACATATTTTCATCTATATACATGTATATTCAGAAAGATAATCAGTGGTGTATGTTACGTAAATCAGCAAACAGTATTGGGCGGATATCATTTGAAAACGTTCCTTTTCCTTTAAATATCGTCTTTTTTACCAGTTGGAGAATTATAATTAGCTCTATAAGTTATTCTTGACAATTTGTTAGCCTACTTAAACTAACAACGAGAACAAATTACTTGATAAAACGATTGTACATAAAGTTCTGTGTGTAATCTCCATCATATAAAAAGTCTAGGTTAGGCAATTATATAGCGGTGGGGTAGGAATTCCTTAGAATACTTGAAACATGTTGATGTGTTATACAGTTTACTCCTTATGTCTTTAAGTCTGTGATATTATCTATAAATATCAAACGGTCTTATCAAGATGGTGAAATCATATTCAGATATCAAACAATTTAACTAAGACTGTGATATCGTTTAAAGAAATCAAACAATCGAATAAAGACTGTGATATCATATTCAGATATCAAACAATCTTCTTTAGACGTAATATAAGCTTAAGATATCAAACCATCGAATAAAGACCGTGACATTATCTTTAGATATCAAACAATCTAATTAAGACAGTGATATTGTAACCTTTGTGCTAACTTCAATACTTCTATATAAATACTGTTTTAGCATTTTTATACCAGTTACATTACAAAACACAACATTAGTCAAGTTAATTCCTGTTTTATTTGCCATGAGTTTAACTAAGAAATTATTGTTTCATACTAATATGGAATGAAATGTAATTTTATTATATGAAATACTTATAATGTAAGTAATAAGACAACAAAGCTTCTAAATTGATAACGTTAAAAAAGAAAAAAAAAGAAAAATATTTAATGAGAGGGAAAGCTCATTGACAGATAAAAGTAACCTTATTGTCCGTGAGTGAGTCTAAAAATGAACTCACAAAAACCTCATGATTAAAAACAGAGAAAATAGAGGTAATTTCAAATTAATCAATTACTTGAAAAAAACATTATCAATAGATTAAATGTGTATCAATGTATTAAAGTGATTCTGTAATATTTTCTTACTTCATTTTGTTGATGTCCACTGAAATAATGCATTTTGATCTTTTAAAATATTTCCCTAACGTGGTTCCATCGTCAAGGATTCGAATCACAACGCCCCTGCAATCGGCTCTTGAAGTTACTAAAATGCCCGCCGCTGCTATTTCCGCAGTTATTTAATATATAGAGTTTTGTGTGTTCATTTACTCAAAACATTTTTATGATATATTTTGATATAGCTGTTTGTCATTGTTTGTTACTGTTCGTGTTTTATTACCATGCTGAATTACAATACGA